ACGAGCTGTGAGATCATGACCTGAGCCGAAGTCAGACGCTCAACCGACTGAGCCACCCAGGCGCCCCTAAAATTAACCCTTTTAAAACATACAATTCAATTTAGTACAGTCACCGAGTTAGGCAACCATCACCACGAGGTCCAGACATTTTATCGCCCCAAAAAGAAACTGAGAACCATTAAGCAATCATTCCCCATTCCCCTGCCCCTGGCAACCACTAGTCTATTTTCTGTCTCTTGGATTTACCAATTCCAGGCATTTCACATAAATGGAATCATAGAAAAATGAACTTTCATGTGGCTGGCTTCTTTTACTTAGTACAATATTTTCAAGGTTCATCCATGCTTGTAGCCTGTGTTGGTCCTTCATTCCTTTTATGGCTGAACAGTATTCCCTCGTATGGATAAACCATGCTTTGTGTAACCATTATCAGTTGATGGACATTTGAGCTGTTTCCACTTTGGGGGCTGTTATGAACACAGTTGCTATGAACATTTGTGCACAAATTTTGTGTGGAGAGAGTTTCGGTTCTCTTGGTTACATACTTAGAGACTTCTACAGACTTTTACCTACTAAGATGCTGTTGGATATTTCTATTTCTTTCCACCTCTAAGCTACCAGCACCTCTCATGTGAACTAAAGTAAGAGCTTCTCCACTGGCCCAGTCATCGTTTCTTTCCCTTTTTTTAAGTTTAAAAAAAAATGATCTTTGAAAGAGAGAGAGACATACACAGAGAGAGAGAGAGAGAGAGAGAGAGAGAGAGAGAGCGCCCATGAGCAGGTCGGGGGCAGAGAGAGAGGGTGAGAGGGAGGGAATCCCTGCTGTCAGAGCAGGCCCCCCACGTGGGGCCCAAACCCGTGAAGCTAGTGACCTGAGCCAAAATCAAGAGTCGGATGCTGAGACACCCAGGCGCCCCCAGTCACTTTTTCAAAGTAGGAATCTGATCATATATATCGTCCCACCCTGCTTACAACCCTTCACCAACATCCCGGAGACTCATCCAAGCCGGGGCCTTTTTCAGTTCCTTGAGGGGGCCAACCCCCCCTCCCCACACCCTGCACAGCAGCCCCCTCACCTGGAAAGCTTTTCTCCTTTCTCTCTCTGGTTTACTCCTACCTAGAGCCCAGGGTAGGCATCTCCCTCAGGAGCTTTTCCTCTCCTCCCTAACTTGGGCTCTCCTGGGACCACGCACCTGTCTCTCAGGGCATCTGTCACAGCTGTAGTCTTCCATCTGCGTGATTATCTGAGTAGCACCTGTCTCCCCCTCAAGGCTGTGTCTGCTTTTGTTCATCACTGCATCCTCAGCGCTAGCACAAGTTTCTGGCACACACGATCTCTGAGTATTTGTTGAATAAACGGATGGATGAATGCTGTGGGACAAGACAGCCTCACAGAGTCATCAAATGATCCCTCACTGGGACGCCTGGGTGGTTCAGTCCGGTAAACGACAAACTCTTGATTTTGGCTCGGGTCATGATCTCATGGTTCGTGGGTTCGAGCCCCCCGGCGGGCTCCGGGCTCATGGTGCCTAGCCAGGTTGGGATTCTCTCTCCCCCTCCCTCTCTCTGCCCCTCCTGTGTGCACACACACACACACACACACACACACTCTCTCTCTCTCTCTCTCTCTCAAAATAAATAAATAAGCTTAAAAAAAGAGAAATCCATCACTGAATAAGCATTTGAGGATTGCTGGATGGCAGAACATGTGATTATCCTCAACAATCAAAAACTCAACACTTTTTGATAATGCTTTATGTATTATGCTTCTGAGAATGGCCACTTTCTGCATTGATATTACTGAAATCAAAATACAAGATCATATTAAATACAGAACCAGGTAAGACGCTATGTCTTTTTATGGTTAAACTCAACTCTGGTGATTTCATCTCAGTAAAACAATGTCATCTGTTGCATTAAATTAAAGTTCATTTGCAATCTTTTTATTTTGTAAATTTGTTTATTTAATATGAAGGTCTGGTTTGGGTTTAGGGCTGTAGCAAGTACTTAAGGCATGAGGACTTTACATCTAGATTTATGTTTAAACACATTTAAGTAATAATACAATCGAATAAATTAACACTGGGTGTCCATGAGAAAAAAGCCTATAAAAAGCCTTTTAGAAACAAAGTCAATAACATTACTCATGTTGAGTAATGCTTATATTGAATGGTGAATTAGATCATTTGACCTCTTAGATCTTTTCCAATTATAATATTCTATAATTTCAGTATTTGAAAATTTTTAAAGTTTATTTTTTTAATGTTTAATTATTTATTTATGTGGAGAGTGTGTGAGCAGGGGAGGAGCCGAGAGAGAGAATTACAAGCAGGTTCCACTCTGTAAGCACAGAGCCCGATGTGAGGCTTGATCTCACAAACTGTGAGATCATGACCTGAGCTGAAATCAAGAGTTGAATGTTTAACTGACTGAACCACCCAGGCGCCCCTAAGTTTATTTTTTGAGAGAGAGAGAGAGAGAGAGAGAGAGAGACAGGCAGGGAGAGAATGCATGAGGGTACACAGGAGGTAGGGGCAGAGAGAGAAGGAGAGAGAGAGAATCCCTAGCAGGTTCAGGGCTGACAGCACAGAGCCCGATGTGGGGCTTGAACTCACAGAACTGTGAGATTACCACCTGAGCCGAAACCAACTGAGCCACCCAGGCACCCCTGTAATTCCAGTCTTATGTCATATACTGAGAAACTGTTGAGACTCTGAAGCTATAATGAAGGAATTCAGGAAGGGGCCCAAAGGAGAGAAAGCAAGGCATCCTTACACCAGACACTAGACCAACCAGGTATTTTTAATTGACAAAGCTTTTCTAAGCAATAATGTTGCTAAAAGCATATCAAATAGAATGAATTATTTACTAGCATCTCAAAAATCTCCAAGGAAGAACTGAAAAACAGAACAAAACATTTTCCAACATTAAATGAAGCAAAACACCAGAGAGCCTCTGCTAGGCCACTTGCGATTAAATATAAAAAGTCCAAGGACAGGGCACCTGGGTGGCTCAGTCGTTTAAGCGTCTGACTTCGGCTCAGGTCATGAAATCGTGGTCTGTGAGTTCAAGCCCCACGTCAGGCTCTGTGCTGACAGCTCGGAACCTGGACCCTGCTTTGGATTCCGTGTCTCCCTCTCTCTCTGCTCCTCCTCCCCCACTCAAGTTCTATCTCTCTGTCTCAAAAATGAATAAACGTTAAAAAAAACTTTTTTTAATATAAAAAATAAAAAGTCCAATTACTTCTATCTAACGCTTTTGAAGTCTAAATTAATAAAGCAAATTCCCTGGCTCTTCCATATTCAATGGTTGGGATCAATTATAAAGTTAGTTTTCAATATATGACACTCTCTAGGGCTCAGGTAATTTTGGTCATTTAGCGGTTTCAACCTGAATACAAAGTGCCGGTTGCTTACCAGGGACACAAAGCACCAAGACCCAAACCTGCTGATTCCTTGTCCTGCCTCCTCTTTCTCTTCATCAGTTACGTCCAGCACCCTTGCTTTAGGACCAAGCTCAAACCTATTTCCTTCGGAGAGCTTTTGGGCTAAACCCTCACACCCTGTATTTACCTCTGCACTTTGTACAGTCTACATTAAATAATACTGCCTGGGTCTAAGGTGTATCACCATTACCTTCTTGCACCTAACCCAACAACCCTCCTCAACCCTCTCCCTGTTGAGAGAGGGACTAATACAGTTGACCTTTGAACAACCTGGGTTTGAACTGTGGGGGTCCACTTCTATGTGAGGTTTTTTTTTTTTTTTTTTCAGTAAATATGGTACAGCACTGTAAAGGTATTTATTCTGAGAAAGAGAGCAAGCAGGAGCAGGGGAGGGGCAGGGGGAGAGAGACAATCCCAAGCAGGCTCCATGCTGTTAGTGCAGAGCCCGATGCAGGGCTTGAACTCACGAACCATGAGATCACGACCTGAGCCGACATCAAGAGTTGGAGGCTTAACTGCCTGAGACACCCAGGCACCCCGTCCTTACAGTTTTCTTAATGTTTTCTTTTCTCTAGCTTACTTTATTGCAAGAATACCGTATACAGGGGCGCCTGGGTGGCTCAGTCGGTTAAGCGTCCGACTTCAGCTCAGGTCATGATCTCACGGTCCGTGGGTTCGAGCCCCGCGTCAGGCTCTGTGCTGACAGCTCGGAGCCTGGAGCCCGTTTCAGATTCTGTGTCTCCCTCTCTCTTTGCCCCTCCCCTGTTCATGTTCTGTCTCTGTCTCAAAAATAAACGTTAAAAAAAATTAAAAAAAGAAAAAGAATACCGTATACAATATAGAATATAACATGCCAAACATATGTTAATCGGCTATTTATGTTACCAGGAAGGATTCTGGTCCACAGTAGGCTATTAGTTAAGTTTTGAGGGAATCAGAAATTATATATATATGGATTTTTGCCTGTGTAGGGGTCCATGCCTCTAATCCCCATGTTGTTCAAGAGTCAACCATACTTCTTTTTGTACTCTATAAGGCCTGGAACTATGAGCTCAAAATGTGCTTACCAAATGGGAAAACCAAGATGTTATCGTATCGGCCTATTTCACAACTCCTCATCCTTTGTTTTCGCATTTAGTATATTTAGAGACATGGTGGAAAAACAATAGTTTTTCATCAATTTAACGACTTTTGAAATGTCCAGGAGAAAAGACATTTAAATTCCAATTCTTTGCTTTTGCGTGTCCCAGGAATTGGTTTTTAAGACAACCCTTAATATTAAAAATATTTTTGAAAACAGAAGCTGAAAAGCCTCAGCAGAGTGCGCGCAATCTGAATGATAGCCACAAATTGATTTTAGTAGCAGAAATTGAAATACGACACCTGGAGCAGCATTCAAACCTGGATGTGTATAAACGTCTCTATCTGTGTGTCTGAACAAAATCAAGTTCAGACTCATTTAAAAATATTCAACCTGAAAAATCTGCAATCTAGTTAATGCGCTTTTTTTTGAACAGAGCATATAATGACAACTCATCATTTTCATATACAAATAAACACACTTTATCTTTTACCATCAACGTCTGAAGAAACCACAACACTTAAAAAAGGATAAACACACAGTTTCTGCTTTCTAAATAACAAGGGGTGTTAAGAGGTTGGATGTATAATTCTAATACGGTGGTTCTAAGCAGTCTTCACGTTGAAATCATAAATCCTTTCCCCATGTTAAATGAAGCAAAACCATTTTTCAGATAATTGCTTAAAAGGTGAACAAACAATTCTTCTTCATTTAGGTACAAGGCAAGCCTTTTGGACTGATTTCAATCAGAGATCCTTTGTTTAGCAAATACAATTAGTATGGTTGGTAGTTTTACTAGTAATGTAAATATAAACCAAGTTACTTCTGGTTTCATTAAGTAAATCACTACAAGTGCAATTTGTATCACAATAAACAGTTTAAAATTTAAAAATACAGCAGTACTCTTTCCCCTTCCCCCCAAAGTGTAGGCTTCTGAAAAACAATGTATTGAGCAACTAAATGCAAACCAAAAGCCAAGAATCTTAAATACCCATATGCTGGGGACACTGCAGTTTATTGATCTACAGTCAGAGCTCCTGGCCAGGTGTTGAAGCCGAAATATAAAATAACGTTACTGCCTTCCTCACCAGCAAAGAGAATACCAAATTAGTTCAAAAAGTCCCTTCAGACAAAATAATGAATTCCTCCAGCAAGGGACCTTTTCTAAAGGGGAAAAGAAAAATATGCCATATAAAAATGAATGAATGAATGAATGAATAAATAAATAAATAAATAAATAAATAAATAAATAATGTGAAATAGATACCTCCGGCCCCTTTGATGCTGCACAGTTTGACAAGCCGTTTGCATGAAAATAATTCCCTTCAACTCCGGAAACTCAAGGATCTCGAGGTAATCTTGAACAACTTTCCAATCTGGGATCATGTAATGAGTCACATCACTAGACAAGAGTTTCCCATCTAAAAACATAATTCAAAACGTAAGCGATTAGACGTTTGCAAGCCTGGCTTATTACTATTTCAAGGTCACGGTGCTCCAGTTTGCAAGATAACTTCCAGTCTTAACTACACCCTAAAGTTTTTGAAGGACATGACAAATCTACTTTGGTAGAGGCCCCAAGTTCAGGTAAATTCAGCATCTTCATTTTTCTGAAGCTGCGATGAGACTCAGAGTGCTGTGTGGTGTTGCCAGGGGTGCAGAAGATGACTAATTTTTTTAAAAACCAGCAAATCCTCAGCACAACCTAAATATTTATTTATGTTCACTCACGGACATACTCGAATGGCATTCAAGTGGGGTCCTTCCATATATACAAGTAAACCACTTGTTTATGCCTGGCAATTTCAAGCGGGTTCTGAATCAAGCTTGTGAACATGCTCGGAAGCCTCCAGGGGCCACAAAGCCGGAATCGACTGGCAAAGATGCTCAGTGCCAGCAAGGGCAGTGGTTAGGCTCTCCACCCGGCCCGCATCTCAGGGACCTGGTTCGCCAAGGTGGAAACGAAATGTTCACCTTAACCATGAACTGAGGATTCCAAATACTCGCTGGGAAGGACCCTCACGCCCCCCTCCCACCAGAGGGAAGAGAACCAGTAATCTCCCTCGTTAAATCGGCCACCCTTGCAGCTGAGAAAACAAGTGGGGGAAGGTGTAGCGCACGGCAGCTCCAAATCCAGCTTTCCCGTGACCTTCCTGTACAACGAGGGCCCAGACAATTCGCAAACCCTAGTGCAGAGGACTCTCCACTGGCTGAAAGTCTGAGGCATCTGGGCTGGCAGGTCAGAAAATTTGTGGGGAGTAAAAAGTGTCAAATGAGCGGCAGCAGGAGCTCTGGGCGCCCGCGCCGCGGGATGGCGCCCCACCTCGCGCCGCGGGCCCCGCAGCTCAGCACCCTCGCCCCATTTCACAATCTCGCGATCCTGGGGGCGCAGAAGAGGCCGGTTCCGGCGCCCACGGGCCCCTCGGAAAGCGCCGATCGCCGGGCCGCCGGGCTCTGGGCCCGGAAGTGAAGAGCCCCAGAAGCAGCGCGCCGCGGCCGTCGGGGCGGCTCCGGGGCCGCCGGGCCTCTTGCTCCGCACCCGCAGCCCCGCCGCCCGCCGGGCCCGAGTGCTGCTGCCTGGGCGGGCGGAGACCCGGCGGCCTCGCGCTCCGCCTCCTGCCGCGGCCCGGCGCCTCCCGGCGGACGGACGGCCCCGCCACCCTCGCTCCCGCCGCCCGGGGCTCTCCGCGCTGCGGCCCGGCCGGGACTCTGACCGTTGCGGCAGGTGGCGGGCTGCGGGCAGAGCGGGCTGTTGCAGGGCACGCTGGGCCGCAGGTAGTGCTCTCGCACGATCCGCAGCGTCCGGCCCTGGAAGGTCCTCAGGAGCAGCACCTTCTCCCGCTTCTGCAGCATGCCGGCGGCGCTCGGCGGGGGCACGGCTCCGGGCCCTGCGAGGCCGCCCCGAGCGAGCGGCCGGGAGGCGGCAGGCGAGGCGCGGCGCGGGCGGAAGCGAGGCCGCGGCTCGGGGCCCGCCCCCTCGGCCGGGCGGCCTGGTCTACGCGGGCTCCCGGGCACCCCTAGATAGCCGCCGGAGCGCCCCGAGGGGCGCAGGAACCGCCCTAACAGCCGTGTCCGGGGCTGAGAGCTGGAGGAGCCCCGCGGCAGGCGTGCTCCAGCCCCGGCAGGCTACAGCAGCCCCGCCTCAGTTTCTCCCCTGCCTACCGTTGCCTGGGGGCTGGGAAAGGTGGAAACCGCCCAAAACACTTAGATATAAGATCTGTGGAATATCTGGAAGCTAGTTTAAAGCCTGGTGAAGAAAGATTTGGTGCAACTCTGAAGGGTTATTAGACCCCCGGGGCCATACAGGAATGGGAGCTGCGGAGGGGGTAATTATTAGTGTTTTCTCTTGGTTGGTCTTGCTTTCCAAAAAGAGCTAAAAGATTGAGCGAATAAGCCAGCAACCCTGCCAGCCCAGCATTTTTTCCCCCTTAAAAAGTCGTATTTATTTTTAATTTCATGTATTTTTAATCCCTATAAAAATTCAAATAATGCAGATAAAATGAAAACCAATCCATTTCCTTGAGGTAAACACTTATCTATTCAATTCCAGCTTTAGGGCATTTGCAGCCTCTGGCAAAGGAATTCTCCTTTAAACTTGGGGATTCACAGTTTGTTCTGAGATCGCACACTCTTCGTTGGGTAGAAGCCACTGTTCTTCCACGCACTCAGGGAAGACTTTTGAACTGTACCAAAAGCATGACATGCAAGCGTCCCATGTAATTTCCACAAGTCAATGGAGTCAGGCATTATTACTCCCATTTTACAGATGATGAGACGGGAGTAGGAAGGTTAAGTGGCCAAGGTTACCCAGTTATTAAGTGGTAGAATCAATACTCAAGCCACGAACTGGCTGAATCCAAAGCAGGCTCTTAACTCATTACTGTGTTATTCACAGATGAATCAAATATAGCTCTTGTATCTAAGGACTTTACAGTCTCCTTCTTGAGCTCTAGTTAAGGCGGTTTAACCAGCCGGCTGGGAACATTAGCGCTTCCTATTGTTAAAAAAAAATTCAAGTAAATGTAAAGATCAAATTGGCTGTATTTAAGGATTTATGAATCACACAGCATCCCATCTAGCAAACAGAAAAGGAGCTCTGAGGAGCTGTACAAAATGGAAGGGTTTTTAGGACGAAGGGAAGTGGAAAAGGAAGTTCTGAACAAAGAGTGGATTGTTTCCGGCAAGGTTACCTTCCCTTGGAGGAAGAGTTGGGGGATCAATCATGCGGAACACCTCACTAGAGTGGATCAAATAATTCCAGAAAGACTGGCTAAGGGCACATTCCTGGGAGAGGCAGAGACCAATTAAGTCTTGGTTTGCTGTCCTGGGGGCAGTTTGGGGCCTGTTGTTCCTTTCTTCCCCGCCCCCCCCCCCAAGTGAAACGTGTGATCAAAATTGAAGCCATTAGCCCACCGCTCTGTGGGTGGGCTTCTCACAGCTTTTGCTGATCCTCTGTGTGATTTTCACAGGTTGGGATGTTTTTTTTTGCTGGATCTCCGTGGTAGTCACAGGTCATGACTCCAGGTTCACAGTTTTCTAGATGGTCGTTTCCTTCACTCCTTTTCTGGCGTTCAGGTCTTAGGGAGATCATTTGCTTGGTGGTTAGTCGCTGTTACACCTGCATTTAAAGCTTTGGAGGGAACATAGTGTACTAGGGAGACCACTGTGATTATTATGAGCAGAATAATTCCCAGTGTTTGGAGTGCACTTTGGAGCCATGGTCCCCAAGACCCAACCCAGTCAAAATCAAGTAAGTCAAAGAAAAACCGATCGCATTGAAGCAGGCACCTTTTAAAGCCAAATGGCATGTATAGTGATCTTTAAAAAAAATAATAATGTTTTATTTATTTTTGAAAGAGAGAGAGACAGAGTATGAGCAGGGGCAGGGGGTGGGCAGGGAGAGAGGGAGACACAGAATTCGAAGCAGGCTCCAGGCTCTGAGCTGTCAACACAGAGCCCAATGTGGGGCTTGAACTCATGAACCCTGAGATCATGACCTGAGCTGCAAGTCAGAGGCTTAACTGAGCCTCCCAGGTGCTCCAATTTATGTAACTGTTACTTATGTAACTGTTTCAACTTCTCCTCAAGCGTTAATCCAGTACAGCAGGTGGTCCTGGTGGCCACAGCACCGATTACTTCTTGCTCAGCTGAAAGAGTACTGAGGTCTAGCTTATCAAAAACAACTTTGGCCACAGAGTCTAGGGATTTTTGTTGGGCAGCTTTTGTCTTAGCACATGCTGCAATATTTTCAAGAGTTAAGGAGAGGTCCCTGATCATACTCTTATTCACATTTATTCCTAGTCAAGGAAGTAGGACCCTGTGAAAGGAAGCAAATCCTGAATCTTGAAAGTTTCTTAGAAGGTCCTTTCTAGGGGCGCCTGGGTGGCTCAGTCGGTTAAGCGGCCGACTTCGGCTCAGGTCATGATCTCATGGTCCGTGAGTTCGAGCCCCGCGTCGGGCTCTGTGCTGACCGCTCAGAGCCTGGAGCCTGTTTCAGATTCTGTGTCTCCCTCTCTCTGACCCTCCCCCGTTCATGCTGTCTCTCTCTGTCTCAAAAATAAATAAACGTTAAAAAAAATAAAAAAAAAGAAGGTCCTTTCTAAGTTGACAATGTAAATTCTGGGGAGTGAGGTGACTTAGTTTGAATGTGAATGGTTAGGGGCACAGTTAGGTACCCTAAGAGCTATTACCCAACTCTGTGTCAGCCATCTAGGAATTCATAGCCCCAAGGAGGGTGAGAACCACCACAGACAAAGATAAACCATGTTGGGGCACAAAGCATTCTTGTTAAGGTGATACCATCAATGGATTCACCCACAGGGATTGTTGCATTTGCCTGTTCAAGCCAGGACTCAGTTGGGTTTTCAGTGTATTTGGGAAGTAAATCTCCTAGCACAAAGCAGTTGTTCTAAATACCTCGTAAAGATGGGTGCTGCCGGTGAGGTCTTTTTGTGTTTGGGGACAGATCTGAGTTAGGTAATCATGCGAGTGTGGGTGTGCAAATGTATTGAGATTTACATAGGTACTTGTGTCTACTTGGGTAAAACAGTTATCATTGGTGAAAAGTAAAAACAAGGCACTAGATTTCTGGCCATTTGAGTGGAACTTGATAAGAGACTTCTAAGGCGGGG